TCAGGGATGGCACACATACATTTTAGTGAGTCACTGTCTATGTTAATATTTAATTCATGGAGTTGGCCAATATTATGTAAGGTACTACTTTCTGTATAATCTTTAGGAGGCTGGGTGTAAGATTTTGCCCTTAAAGACTCAGCCTGAAGGCTATCAACGTTTGCTTCACAAGGTGGATCACTGTCGACTAAAAGTTCCACACTAGGTTTAGTTACTTTACTAAATATTTCCTTCGCTTCATTTAGACCCAGCATATCCTGTGGTGACAATTCTTGCTGCTGCAGCTGTAACTTTCCTGCCCCTTGTATGGCATGAGAGACTGAACATTCCTTCCTGTTATCTAGAGGCCAATCCACTCTATGAATCCCCTCAGAAGTAACAGCTGAATGACATTCTTCTCCTGTAGCTGCTCCATACATGGGAATGCACAGTTCCTTTTCCATGTGCAGGCAGTCAGGGTCTATAACACAAATGCTATAAAACTCCTTTCCTGAATTCTCACACTGTTTGTCATCAACACAAATAGGGTTTTCACCTTGCCTCACCCTACTGGACACATTGAAAGAGTTATTATTCTCTTTAAAACCACTGATTTGAACATTTAACAATCTTTCTTTCTCTATAAACGAGTTTTCACAAGTGCCTATGTAATAGCACAGATGGTCACTTGGAGAAATTTCCTCCTGGAGACCTTGGTCAGAACATACTGGCACACATAAGACAGGCTGGCCATCTTCAGAACAGCCCTGTCTGTCAGTACCCAAGCACAGGAGGTCAGGGACACTCTCAGAATTCTGCTCAGTAACAACAATATCTGAATTCTTATCTCTCTCATCTAAATTTTCATATCTAGTTAAAAACTTATATATAGAAGAGGAAATAGAATTCAGTGACTGATTTGGTCTCTGATTTCCTTTGTACCCAGATCTTGTAAAAGTTCTAGTCCACACGTTAATGCCGGCAGCTGCTCTGCTGGCTCCATTTTCAACATTGTGAAGCTCCTCACCCTCAAGGGTATCAAATAATGAAGATAAAGTTTTACTTATCTTGTTCTCCGGTTCCTTCTCCACCACAGATTTCTGTAGCAGGCCAATTTTCTCATTGTCATTGTCACTACTTAATTCTTTGCTGAAGCAACAACCCATGTTCAAAAGTTCAAAAACTCACATTACAACGCCTGTCCTTTTCTGAGCCTCTACAAATGCATCTCACACAAACTTGGTTTCTGAGAAGCCAACACCCACACACCAAAAATAACTCCTTGCACAGCAGTCACATGTTCCTGCCACTCAAATCCAAATCCTAATGACAAGAGAACCCTGCCTGACAACTATCATACTCCATGTGCTGAAACACAAATAGTCCACGGAAGCCAAAGGTTCAGAACAGCAGAGAGAAAACACACACACACACACACACAGAGCTACATTAGTTTTTCTTATTTTCATGAACTAAATTATGAAACAATTAAAATTGTTATCTCAGCCAAAGGAAGAATTGTTCAGACTTCTGGTTTTTCTAGAGTGTTTTAATATTTTCTGAATAACTTTTCATGGAATAATTGTCAACCAAAGAAGTTAGTCTGTAAATTCCCAAAAAGAAAACAATTTCTAGAACTTTGTTTCTCTGAATTCATAGCTATTTACAGTTGTATCTAATTTTCCAGATTCAAGAAATAATGTTTGTGGGTATAAAGAAATTACAACTAATTCTATCAGATATGGGAATAAACATAAGAGAGATAATAAGGAACTACTATGGCAAAATGACAAATTACCTAGGATCTGCTTAAGAATACCCCAGAAAAGCTGGGTGTGGTTGGTACACACCTGTAATCCCAGCTATATGATAGGCTGAGGCAGGAGCATCACAAGCTCCAGTAAACAGAAACATAAAATTCTAAATGATTATGTGTATAAGGCAGAGGAAAAAACAAACAAGCAGCTCAGCAGAAGGAGTCATGCTTTTTCATGAAGGGAACATTAGGGTTCACTATATTATTCACTCCATTCTGTAGATGCCTGAAAATTATAACTAAGAAAAAAAAAAAAAAGGCAAGAGAAAAAAGAAGAAATTAATCTAGTACCCATAGCAGGAAGTATCTCAAAAGCACTCTGCACTACTGACAAGTTTAACCTGAAAGATAAATAATGTGCTAAAAAGAGGTAGTTATTGTCCATATATAAGAAATAGGCACTGGGGGGCTGTGGATGTGGCTCAAGCGGTAGCATGCTCGCCTGGCACGCGCCCCTCGCTGGGTTCAATCCTAAGCACCACATAAAAATAAAGATGTTGTGTCTGCCAAAAACTTAAAAATAAATATTATAAAAAAAAAATTCTCTCTTAAAAAAAAAAAAAGAAATAGGCACTGGATACTTTCATGGAAATTCGAGCTTTCTGATAGCTAGCCTACTCTCATTCAAGATACAGGCTGTACTAATTAATCTGAATTACTAGTTTATAAATATTCATTCAGAAACTATATGATCAACAGTGAGGTTTTGGGTTGAGACTAGAGATCATTTGTAAGGCACTTGCCTAGCACATGTGAAGTCCTGAATTCAACCCCTAGCACTACCACAGAGAAAAGAAGTGAAATGGTTTTTAATTTAATTTAATGAATAAATGGAAAGACTCAAGTTTTCTGATCTTATTACCTTTAAAAGAGTTTTAAAAGATTATTCTGGTACAGATCACATTTTACAGAACATAAGTTTTGTATGCAGAAGAGTTTGATTTCCGATTTAAGCTTTTAAGTTTCACATTATGATTAGAAAAGATGTAGAATGACTTATGTGTTTTTCTTCCCAGCACACAATTTAACACTTCTACCTCATATTACTTGTACTTTAAACACATCACACACTTACATTCTTCTCTCAAACTTGCCATTCATTTATGGTAAAATGCAAAAGGATCATCAAAATGGAAAATTACTCCAAGGCCAAAGTAGTTACTCCAAGGAAAATCAGGCAACCTGGCTGCAAACTGTGTTGTTTGAGCAGCAGCGTTTCGAATCTGGAATCCTTGAACAGACTTCAGCAGCAGCACAAAACCTTTGATAATGGTCTTTGCTACAGATGGTGTCTGTAGCCTTAACAGGTAAGATTAAAGGCATTTAACCAAATGACTTTGTTGCCAAATGCCCACTGTCAGATACTGTTTCTTCCTCATGAAGGAGATCCTTCATGGAGACCCGCTGCCAGATTGGCTGCCTCCTCATCTCAAACAGCCTCAAAGCCCTTTTGATCCATCTCCTGCTCTCCCTATCCATCCTCTCACCACCGAAGCAAATATCGTATGTAGAACATTCTTGTGTACATTACATCACCACGTCCTGAATCTGTTTTGCCTATAGTGCCCTTTGGAACTGCTCTTGCTAAGGTTACAACTGAAGACCCACTTTGTTCCAATCTGTCTAATCAATAGATCTTTATTTCATGTCACTTCATTTGGCCACTATCTCATTCCATTTCAACCAAACATTGCCGTCTTTTTTTCTTTACATCTCTCTGACCACTCCCTTCCTAGTCTCCTTCCAATTTCTGAAATACTCAAGAGTTCCAGAGTTTTTATCATTTTCCCATTCTGTAAATGCAGGAAAATTTAATTCAAATTTAGTACTTTAACTCTATTAGTACAATATGCTTCAAGGACAGTAGCCTTTTATTACATCAAAGTCAGAACATTCAAAATGACCCTCCTTTATTTAACTAGGGACAAAACAGAAAAACATTTCTTCTGTAGACACAACTACACCTCAATGCCTCCTATCTCCATGGCTATACTCATTCTGTATCTAAAGTTCACACAAAAATTGGTAATAAACTTTCCTAGTGTAATAGAGCTACAATAGATATATGTGTATCTCATGATAATCTGCAAACAATGTCCCCATAGAACTGTCTTAACCATCTTTATCAATTGCATTCAAGTGTTGTTGAATAAATTAATACTCAAATTTCACTCAAAGTACTGCCTATCTGCGTACTAGAAACAGCACACCAAGCCACTATGGAAGCCAACAGGATACAGAAAAGGTAAAGACAGAAAGCACACTTGCGATTGACCAGGAATAAGGGAGGAATGGGGATTAACTGTAAATGGGCATGGTGGGGGGTAATGAAAATATTCGAAAACTACATTACAGCCAGCCATGGTTGCACAACTCGGTAAATCTAAATATCAAACTGCATACTTCCAATCCAACAGGAATAATAAAATGATGAAATATACGAGTTTAGGGTAGTGTTTTTAAAATGTTTTTAGAAATTCTACCTGATTCAAATTAGATCAAGGACTGAAGATGTGACTCAGTGGTAGAGCACTTGCTTGACATGCATAAGGCCCTAGTTTTGATCCCTAGCTCTACACACACACACACACACACATACACACACACACACACACGAGATTACCAACCCAACCTCTCCTTTAATTTCTATGTAAACTGCTTATTTGGGCAAACAGATGAGGATTACTATAAATATTTTAAGAATTGAATTTGGAATACTATAAATACACTTCACATATGCATATGCAAATGGTGAAAATCAGGATTTAAAAACAATGGGATTCCATTTCCTTATTCTTTTATTATTTACTATTTAACTTGTGTGCTCCAAAGAGATTATCAAAATGTAAGGCTAATCATATACTAACAGTGAACCATTAAAAACATGATGAATGTCTGAGAAGAATAAATATGGAACACTGCTTGTCTGTTAACTGTACATTACACAGAGAACAGAAAAGGACACACAATATTGACATTTACTGTGGGGGGAATATAGTGATGAACCGGGTCCCCATTGTCTTTTTGAGAAACATTTAACATTTAACTTATGTGTGTGTGTGTGTGTACACACACACACACACATATGCATGCACGTGTGTTTACATACATATATCTTTTTAAACAATAAACTTTTGTTGTGAGGAGCTATCTGTGAGCCTCCACTGTGATTAAACAATCTGTGATAATCTTGGAAATTAATTACCTGACTCAAAGCTGGGATGGAACTTGTTTGAGAAGTGCTTTGAGATATAGGACCATTCATCTGTAAAATTGAAAACAAAGATACCATCACTGTAATATAAAGACAACCATTTCAAACTACGGTAATTAAGCAAAACCAAAGCTACTGGTAAATATATTTTCATATGATAAAATCATAAATTTATGGACTGGGGTTGTGGCTCAGCAGTAGAGCACTCACCTAGCATATGTGAGGCACTGGGTTCCATCCTCAGCACCACATAAAAGTAAATAAAGATATTGTGTCCAACTACAACTAAAAATATATATATTTTAAAAATCATAAATTATAAGATTCAGATTATAGGAGTCTTAAAATTGCTTTTTAAAATTCTCACAGCACATTATAAGTAAAATTCCTTCTAAGTTTCAAAAGGGAAAAATTAAGTTACTTTTCCTAAAATCAATTCAGAAACATGAAATATTATTTCCTAACATGATAAAATGAAGGTACTCAAGCTGGGCACAGTGGTGCACGCCTGTAATCTCAGAGGCCTGGAACGCTGAGGCAGGAGAATAGCCAAGTTCAAAGTCAGCCTCAGCAACTTAGCAAGGCCCTAGACACCTCAGCAAGATCCTGTCTCTAAAAGGACTAGAAATGTGGCTCAGTGGGTAAACGTCCCAAGATTCAATCCCTGGTATCCCCCCAAAAGAGAAAGTATTCAAATTTATAATCCTAAATAACTCTTTACTGCAATGGCTATAATGGCTTTACTTTATTACAGTGGCTATGATGTTAGTTCAGGATTTACAACTGCATTTTCTTGTTTTGAAATATGAAAATTTTAAATGTGTGTGGCACATGTTTGTAATCAAGGATAAAACAGGAGGATCCCAAGTTCAAGGCCCTATGAAACTTACACCCTGTCTCAAAATAAAAAATAAAAAGAGATGGGGATGTAGCTCAGTGGTAAAGCTCCCTTAGGTTCAATCCACAGAATGTACTAACTAAATAAATAAATAACAAAGCTTCAAGTATTTATAGTTACAACTAACCTTTAGTTCTATCACCTGGTTCTTACAGTTTTCCCTACTAAGCTACCCAGACATTTTTTAAGACTGATGAGGTTTTGGATACAACACCCCAATCATTGCATCTTGGCATGTGAAGAAAACAGCAGATTCAGGCCATAAAAACTAGAATATTCATTCTGGGGTTGTGACTCAGTGGTAGAGTGCTTGCCTAGCACATGTGAGGCACTGGGTTCGATCCCCAGTACTACAAAAAAAAATAAACTTATCATGTTCATCTACAACTAAATATAGAATACTCACCTCATTCTTCTTCTTCTTAAATGAGTCATAAAACCTGATAACCTTCTCCTGAAAATAAATATTAAGACCCTCATTTCAGAGGGGGTCCTGCTCTACACTCAGAGGACAGGAATGCCACATAAGGAAGCCAAGAAAAATGGGAACAAAGTGCCCTTGTTAAGTTCTCCCCAGTTTATTACTATTAGATCATAACTACTTCTGTCTATGCTTTTACATAACTCTCTACTTCTGTATTAGACTTGTGAAAAATACATAGCTTTCCCTGTCTTTATTTCTGAAGGCTATGTGTCACATAAAACTTATTACTAAATAAATATGTTTTTCTCTTGTTTATCTCAACCTCAGATGGGTAAGAAGTCCTTTCCCCTCTGTAAGACTATACCACCTATACGTAGACCCTAAGGTACTCTAGTGCTGTTATTTTGATTTGCTTCTAAAGTTTAAGGTAAAGAAAGAGAAATGGCTGCCCCTGGCCCTCCTGGCCCACAACACCCACCAGATGAGAGCTGTCCTTGCCCTCCTGGACTCGCTGCGCCTGCGGTTCAGCCACAACTTTAGTGTCCTGATCAGAAGTCATGGGCTCCACTGGGATAAGTTTAATGCCAACCTCAGGATGCTGCAAAATGACAAAGAAAGTGAACAGTTCATTTGAGGGGCACAGTATGATTGATTCTTAAATGACATTACTAAAAAGTTAAATCCAGGACATGTTTATCCCTCTGAACAGTAAGTAGTTTAAAGAAAACTGACCATAATTAACACCTTACTCACCAAGAAGTAATAATACTTATTTTAAGTAAGATTCTTCTTCATACCAATTTGGTGATAATGATAACACAGAAAAATCCCCTTATGCCCAGAAATTCATGATTTTTAAAAAACAGAAAATTAAGGAATTTAATATTCAAAAATATATGAGAAATTTGCAAACTCAACTGTAAAAAGCAATAACCTAATTTGAAAATGGCCAAAGAGCCCAAACAGACATTTTCCAAAAGACATAATAACGACCAATAAATAAAAAGTACTCAACATGACTAATCAACAAGGAAAAGCAAATCAATACCACAAGACGTCACTCACACCTGTTAGAATGGTGACTGCCCAAATGACAAGAAATAGAAAGGCTATTCAGGGCATGGAGAAAAGGGCATCTTAGCACACTACACTGTTGACAAGAATTTAAGTTGGTTTAGTCACTATTGAAAAGAAATATGGAGATTCCTCAAAAAAAAAAAAAAAAAACATAATATATAATCTAGCAATTCCATTCCTTGGTCTATATCTGAAATAAATGAAACCACCACCTCATGAAGATATGCATTCCCACATCCACTGAAGCATTATTCACAATAGTTATGACTTGGCAACAACTTGTATCTATCAATGGATGAATGGATAAAGAAATTGCAGTGTGTACACACACAGGAATGTTATTCAGTCTTTAAAAAAGGGAAAAACCTTGTCATATGCTACAACATAGATGAACCTATAAGAGAGTATGCTAAGTGAAACATGACAGTCACAGAAAGACAAATATTGTACAATCTTACTTTTATGTGCAAACTAATTTACCCAGAAATAGAAAATAAAATGGTTGTTAGCAGGGAATGAGGCATGGAATAGGTTAAAGGGTATAAATCTACAGATACATGTAGGATGAAAAAGCTTATGATCTAATACCTGCAAGGACTATAGTTACAATATTGAATTATACTATATACTAGAAACTTGCTAAGAAAGATTTCAGGTGCTCTAAGTACCCATACATAAACAGGTAAAAATGTGATTTTAATTGGTTGACTATAGTAACCATTTCACTATGTTTATCAAAATGTGCTGTATACCTTAAACATGTTTTTAAAAAACCCTCCAAAAATTACATAATCAATAAAGTCCAGAATAAAAACATATAGTTTTTGATGAATCCCTAACTTATACATGTTGTTTTTAACTGGTCCCATTAATTTTATTTTATTCAAGAATAACTGTTGTCAGGATAAACAATAATTCAAAAGGAACCAAAATACAATCCTCAATCATAAGAAACTAAAAACAATTTGAATGCAATGGAATAAATATTACAGTTTTGGGGAAGCATTTGCGTAACTCAATGGCTGGACATTGAACTTCATGTATAATACCTCAATTAACTTAGAAATGACTTAAAAGGAAGTAACTTTCATAAATTTACATAATAAGGACTCCTAGGAATCCAAGACTTCTGTTAAAGCATTTCTTCTTTTCACTGTAAGCTACACTGATTCACAAACAAAGAATCTGATTTAACCCAGGTATATTTTTCAGGCACTTTTGAAAACAGAGTCATCAGAAGGCCAGAAAAATAAACTTTAAATCATAACTATTTCTTACTACATACTCATACAGGTTTTTTCATTTCTTTAATGCTGCCTCCTATTCTCAATACCCTACATGAGATAAATTCTCAAAACCCTTGTTAATTTAAACACATCTGATCAAAGCCAATCTCATCCAATTGTCAAAATGGTATCAGAAATCACAAAAACCACAAAACATTTAAATGCTGTAAAACAGATCTGAAAACATAAACTAGCCAAGAAGAAATGCTTAAAATAAATTCTTTCATGGAGATCACTGTTTTCCAAAATGTGGAATGAATGACAAGTTAAATTTCAACAGTTACGCATTTCATTTTAATGTGCATCTTTTTCTTTTGTGTCTGTGGCACTATTAACCTCTTGTTAAATTAAGCAAAAAAGTGAGTCCATTTGAAGTACCACTATGAACACTGCTGGAATACAGCAAAAAAATCTTCAAAGTAGAATATGTGACTGAACTTCAGAAAACAGATTTAGGAACATCTGGTTCTGACACATTCCAGGTCACTGTTCTCAGTCCTTAGATACACTGAAGAATAACACAAGGAAACTGTGATTTTGTACTTTTGTAGCTCCAATATGAGTGTTTTTTTAAAATTATGCAGATGATTCTGAAACACCTGAACAAAGAACTACTTCCAAGAAATGGAAGTAGCACGCAGGGAAGGTGACTTCGTGATATTGCTTCCAAACAGATGGATCTAGTTTTGTAAAAAACCTACCTATCACAAAACACCAATTATCACAGAAGCATCAAATCCAGAAAATAAAGATGCAGATTAATAACTAGAGAAGTCCTAGATGGTATAAATGCTTCTACCAATATTAACTCCGAGATTTTTAAGATTCTCAAAGAAATGATGTTTGTTCTTAAGGATGCACCTTTGCTTGAAAATAAGATATGGCATCCAAAAGGAAAATTTGACTAGAAGAATCCTTTACGTGCTACCTACGTTTTGCAGACAACTGGAAATTATGCACTTCTTGATAGGAATACCACCACCACCATATCATGCTCCTTAAATCTGTTTTTTTCCTCCCCTCTCCTTTTGTGGTGCTAGGGATCACACACAGGGCCTTGGGCATGCTACACAAGCATTCTAATTCCCTAGACTGAATTACAAATATCATCATTACATATTTACAGCACATGAGGGGACAGAGGAACATGGAGGCTGAAGACACACAATGAGCCAGCAACACAATGGCTTTATTTAGATAAGTGGATGAAACCATTTTTTTAAAAGATAAAAATTTTGCAGAATATTTGATGATACTAAAGAATGACTATTTTCTTAAATGTGATAATGATGTGGTTATGTTTAATATATGCATAAGGAGAGAGATCTCTCTTTAAAGATGTATACTGAGGGGCTCAGTGGTAGAATGCTCACCTCGCACGTGCAAGACCCTGGGTTCAATCTTCAGCACCACATAAAAATAAATGAATAAAATAAAGATATTGTGTCCAACTACAACTAAAAAATAATTTAAAAAAAATAAAGATGTATACTGAAATACTCACAGAGGGAAATAACGTGATGTCTGCAATGTTACTCAAAAATATGTGCAACAGAGACTAAAAAAAGTCCATAATTGTTTATCTTAAAAAGGAGTACAGAGGTTCATTCATTACACTATTCTATCTAGGCTTCTGCACATTTGAAATATTCTATAAGACGTTTTAAAAAGTAATATTGGCATAATTTTACAATGAAACAGTGACTCTGATTTGACTACTCTGCAACTGTTCATAAGAAAGTAATTATTACACAAATATCTCTTAATTACTGACTTGATATAATTTTTCAAAAAAGTTCTATAACTGTGAAGTTTAACAGAATAATTACTGATAGTTACCTGATGTAAACACTAAAAATTGCAAAACATTCTAAGACTTTATTATTAAAGTCTAAATCTAGAATGAAACAAAACTTGAGTATGATGATGCAAGTATTGATAATAGTCTAAATAAAGAACAAAGTCACATTCTACCACTGGTTTAGGAGACCAGCACTGTTTTGACACTTAAACTATATTGTCCCCTACCCCATGATCAAAAAGCATATCTTTAGATTGTAAAGAGAAATAACTGCCAGGTGCAGTGGCACATGCCTGTAATCCCAGCAGCTTGAGAGTTCAAAGCAACTTAATGAGGCCTAAGCAACTCAGTGAGAACCTCTCTCTAAATAAAATATAAGAAAGGACTGGGGATGTGGGTCAGTGGTTAAGCATGCCTGGGTTCAATCCCAGGTACCAAAAAAAAAAAAAAAAGAAAGAAAGAAATACTGAAGAGGGGAAGAATGTGACAACCAAAAAGGAAGTATTTCCTGACACAGAACCTCAGAGTCTGAGGCATCTTCATACTCCTCAATGTCTCACACCCTTCACAAAGCTTTAATTGAGTTACATAGGAGCTATTCTTGATTTGATTTAATCTCTCTTTATATAAAAAGCAAAATGAGGGCAATTCCTAGTACCCTAAACTTCATATGTGACCTAGCAGCACATTTTTTTTAATCTCATCCATCAAAGCTACAGCCTAAAAAGGAAGTTTTCTCAATCCTGTTCAACACTTGGGAGAGGTTTAGTCTCTCCTAGGCCTTATCAGTTTCTGAAGTATTCTTTTCATACATACAAGAATGGTATTTCTTAAGTATTTTTATGTTTTTTTGGATACTCAAGGCAATCCTTCAGAACATAAATGATCTCAAACTTAATTACAATCAGGTTATATAACTATTCAGAGAACTGCAATTTTAAGACTATTTGCATACGAAATTCTAAAAATTCAACAATTACTAATATTCATTCATTAAGCTTGTTCTTTAAGGCAAATGTTGGCATAATTATTTTGAAATTATTTTATATACTGCAAGAACACACATCTATATGCCACACAGAACAAACTAAATAGAAATTATATTATTAGGCACACAGATTTTCACATATAAGAGATACAAATATAAAATTAAAGAAGTTAAATAAGACCCAGAGAATCTTTTTAAACTACAGTATAAAAACAGAGTTTCCCACAAATATCCTCTTCCTATTTCATGATCCAATCTAGGGCCTTACACTGTATTTAGCAGCCAAAATTTCTGTTTAGTCCTCTCCAAACTGTCCCAGTTCATTTTCATTAGTTCTGGCTGATTATTTTGTAGAATATTCTTTTACTGAAGATGAACCTGGGACATCTTATTGTGAAAGGAAGGAAGACTACTATGGTAATGTCACTAGAACACTGGAGCCATAA